AGTAGTTTAATAAATTGGAATAGTAAATTAGAATAGTTTAATAGATGGTTATATATACTTCTTAAATGGTTGATTTTAATACCGAATTTTATTTTAAAGAATATATTACGATCCAAGATAAATAATAATTTAGACATGTCAACTTTGTTGTGTTTGAATTAACTCACTTTTACCTGTGTGCCGGACTGTGTGTATTAAATATTATATTATAAATTAAATTACAAATATGAATTTAGGCCTCCCCTGTTTTGGTCTGCCTCCCACCTTGAAACCAATTTTTTCGGAAGACTTACCTATATGGGCCCGAGTCAAGAATCTCCGAGAATCTCAGATCAAATAAAAATATATGTTTATTTGTCAAGTGACTATATTTTATTTAATTATTTTATTAATTTTGAGCGATGGATGTGGTTTTTGATAGTTGCTTTAAATATTATAACCTATAAATATATATTAAAATATTTCCTGATGTAAAGTATTAATAATAATAAATATGCCTGAAAATACTTGTGTTTTTATAGTAAATTTTTTAAGCTTCGAATGGGAAATGCATTCGATCCAGAAAGCTTTTGTGACCAAATCTCTATTGGCAGCAGTTTGATCGCATAGTGGAGAGACTCGCTTGCAGCTAGGGCATTCATATATGCACAAACATTAAGCAACCGTCGAGTGAATTAATAAAGCGCCTTACCATTGCGAGGCGGCCACGCATTAAACGACAAACACAACAACTGTAAGAACTGCAACAAGGCAACAATGCAACAGCAGGCTACATGGCTGGCTGGCTGGCTGGCTGACAGGAAAAGCGCGGATCATTGTGCCACATGTGGCTGGTTGGCCTGGCAAATAGATGGCACATGAGTGACCAGGCGAGGGGTGCAGTGGAGACGGGGAAGAGGCGGGAGTCGAATCATTGGTGGAATCGTCAGCGTCAACCAATGCGGCCAGCACTCCAGTCCACTATATAGTTTAGCCGAGGGCCAAACATTTTGCAATTGCAATTTTCGACTTGATTTCCAAGTGAACTCGGCTGCGGCCCGGCCGACTCTTGGCCACAGCAGAGCGCTGCGCTGGGGCAACACCTACCGAGCCAGCAAAGGAACCTGCTGCTGCTGCTGCTCCTGCGGTGGGCGGCAAACAGTGTCGAGGGTGTCCGCAGAGGACAGCGGACTGCAGGGGCGAGGGCTGCGGGGCAGCTGAGGCAACTGTTGCCGGGCGCACGCAGCAAGTGTTTCGATTTATGTTTTTGCGCCTCTCGACTGCAGTCAAAACACAACGTGCAACACATTGCCAGCATGCTGCATGCAGCATGCAGCAGGCAGCGTGCAGCCACATCTCTGTCGACGTTTCACTCTTGGCGTTTTCATTCAAAATGTTTAACTATGCTATGGCTGTCCGGCTCTCCCGACTGTCCGTCCATGCGGTGCGAGGACCACTTGTTGCTCTTTTATTCATTCAATTTGTCAGTTTTGCACGCGGCTGCGCCTCTCTCTAGCCCCAGCTCCTGTCTCGACTGCGACTACAACTCTGACTCTGAGTCCAGCTCTGTCCAAGACGCAGTCACAATTTGCCTGGCCGGAGAGAGAGAGCGAGTCAAAAGGTTATCGCCGCCACTTGAGCATTTATACACAGCACCAGCATCATCATCGGCATCGGCATCAGCATCAGCATTAGCTTCATCATGATGTTTCGCTTGCAACATGACGCCGCATGCAACAACAACAACAGCAACAAATTATTAGTGGTAATATTTGTGAAATATTTGTTTTCTAATCTGTAAACACCAATCATATTAGCAATTCGAATATGACAGCAGCAGCAAACAGTAACAGGCGAATGTTGCTGTTGCTATTTACTGTTGCTGTTGCTGTTGCTGTTGCTGCTGTTGCTGCAACATTTTGTTGGCCTGGTCAACGGTCAGTTGCTTGTGGCTAGGCTAGGCTAGTTGCCTAGCTAAATGTATGTGGTGGGTGGCTGGGTGGGTGGAGCCCGTGAGTTATTATCTATTCAATTGTTGCACTTGGCTCTGCTTCTTCACCTCGAGCAATTTTAATGCAGTATTTTTTTCGCTTTGCTGGCCAAATTAATTGAACAGGCGCTGCCTTTGGCTGCCTGAGGCCAGAGCGCAGTTCGGAGTTGTCTGATTGGCAAGTGTAAAAAGTAAAATAATCGCAGAGAAGATGAAGAGAGAGGGAGAGAGAGGGGAAGAGGCCTTTTGCATTTATGAGCGAACGTTTATGATAAATGCCGTGTGTATTTGTGCGCCTCGTTAGGCCCGTCGCCTTGCCACATCGTTTACAACACTTTAAGAGCAGCTCCTCAGATCTTCAGCTCCTCCCCAGCTCAGCTCTCGTCCGGGCACATCATAAGCTGATGCATTGGCAGCCATTAGCAAGCCAATTGACATACTGCTGACTGACAGCTCGACAGACAACAACACGCAACATGCAACGAGCAACTGGCAACTAGCAACTGGCAACTGGCAACTGGCAACGTCTGCAGCTAAGTGCTGCAAATTTATCACAGAGCCGCATCGTCGTCGCAGGTATTGCCAAAAATGGCACAAATAACGACATAATTTGGAGACCCGAGACTCACTCGCAATCCACAGCGAAACAGATCTTCGAGACGCAAAAAGAACATATGCAAATTGATGCTTGATCTCCACACAGCCTCCCAAAAATGGTGGCCAGAAAATCGTTAAGCCACCATCGAGCCGCATCTACGTCGAATGCCTCAGTAGCAGCTTCCCTCCTTTCAGCTGTTTGCGTCTCTTGCTCAATGCAATTGGACATCAATGCTTTATAAAGCGCTGAGTTTAAGAACTCTAGGAGGTCGCGAGCCATGCACCTTGTCAAAGCGTGTTCAAGCTGATTTTTCACGCAAGCCAGATGAAATTCGTATTGAATTAAACAAATATCATATCAGAGATTGAAGACAAATAATAAATGCCTTAGACTCAGATATGATCAGATTTTGATAGTTTCATATATGTTCTATTAGTTATTAGTTTCAGATGTACTAAATATTATGCAAAATGCATACATGTTTTCAA